TCTCTCTCTCTCTCTCTCTCTGGGAACCGAGATGGGCCTCGGGCTGATGCGCACGCACTCACACATACCGCTGTCTTGCAACGCCCCGTGTAGACAGGGCCGGCCTTTGTGGATACGTCGGCGAGCGCACTCGTTATCTGATGACAGAAGACACGAGCCCCCCTCGGCTCTCACGTTCCCTTCCCTTCTATCGCGATGACCTTCAGATCTGCGGCAATTAATAGAATGTGCTTCCAGGCCACTGCTTGCGTCGTTCGTCTAAATTACCAACTTTCTTTCCCATAAAATTTCTCAAATTTAATGTATCTTCTACGTTGGGCAGGCGGTTCACGGCGTTGAGCTGTCTTTACTTCTCTTCTCTACGTCGAGAAACGTCGACACCTGGATAGATGTTTCATTGGTTCCCTCCATGTTTTTATTTTAGTGAAAGATGGAACGGGGGGTAGGGGGGGGGTGTAAAATGGATGAGCAAAGCGCTCTCTCTTTCCCACGTTTAGAAGTGTTAAATCATTGGGGACGTGCATTCTTGTCATTTGACAACTCTGCTCTCTAGGCCTTAAAAACAAAAAAACTTTTTTTACTTCGTCATTCGTACCGGGTGGTTTTTGTTGGTTTTTATTTAGTTTTGTTTTTTCCTTTAAAAAAAAAGCCCGAACCGTGATAAATAGGCTGGGTTCAATATGCATAATTATGAAATATGCGGATTTGTGTATGATGGTTCGAAATGTGCCCCAACGTTATTGCCTTTGGGTCTGCTGCTGATCGGACATTTGTCCTCTACGGTCGTCGTCCTTAAAGAGTTCACGGAGCTCCTTCTTTACCCTTTGATGTATCTACAGAACGATTCTCCGTATCAGACAGTATCATGCTGGGGAAGGTCACGTAAAGTGGCGAGTGCCCCAGGGACTTGCGAGAAAAGGGCGGTCATTCATTGAACAGGTCTTTACGTGCACGGGGGCAATGGCATCATTATCGCACTCCCTCCCCTCTCCCCTCTCTCTTTCTGCTCTCGCTCTGTCTCCCCCCTCTCTCTCTCTCTCT